GGAAATAAAGATTTGAACCCAACATTTGTGTTTTGTTAACCCAGGTTCATGTTTTAGTGGGTTGTGTGAGTCTACATGCTTGGTCATGTTACTGTCACTGTTGCTGAGCAGGAATATGGATGTTTGCTTTATAAATCCCACTTCAACGGAACTATAATTTTACTCCATTTGGCAAAGTCACAAATGTGATCCATTCAGAGCAGAGCAGAGCAGGGAATTTGGGATTCAAATCTTTATTTCCTAGGTTTTGCTCAGTGATTTAGGGTGAGCAGATATCTACCAACATCTCCAAGACCTAGAGCTTGGAGCATCATCTACAGCAGGTGTCCAAACCTGGCAACTTTTACTACTTGTTAACTTCAACTCCCAGAATTCCTCAGCCAGAATAGCTTGAAAATTGAAATCCCCAATTCTTAAAGTTGTTAAGTTTTGAGACTCCTAATCTGTAGGGAATCCTCAGAATTTCTCTGTGAGTGAGATGGGCAGTCTCCAAATTTGATAAATAAATAAAAATAGATGAGATGAGCATGGGTTGTACTCCATCTGAAGGCCTCACTCTATACCAGGGGTGTCAAACTCAATTCCATTGAGGGCTGCATCCGGGTTGTGTTTGGCCTCTGGGGGCTGGGGAGGGGCCTGGCCAGCTCGATGTTTATTTTTGACTGCGATGGCTTCCGGATGTCACCTCAGACAATTTATTCATTGCCTTAGTGCTTTGTTGGTCAGTTTGTGCAGGAGGAAAACAAACTCCATTTTCAAACTGTCTCTGTGTTTGGCTGTTTCCTTAACCCTTCGTAAGGGTTTACGAACCTTAGTAACACTAAGGTTTAAACCCAGCGTTTAAACTTCAGAAAATATATGAAAAATCTAAGTCAGCTTTCCCTATGATGCTGTACTCCAGATATAATGTTGGTGGAAGCTGTCGAGGGGACGGGAGCAAAAACGTTAAGATGCAGCTTTCTATTGTGTAGTCACAGGCAACGTCATGACTTTGTTGTCCTATGCTGTGGATGTTGCTAATTGTGGGATTTCGTTTTTCACAGGACATGCAACTGCTCCTGCTCCCATTGGGCAAGGAAGACAACTATTAGTCTTGTGAATGTCCAATTCCCCGCTGTGGCCAGATATTTCCTAAATATTTCCTAATGTTGAAACCCTGGAAAGAGTGTAGAAAAGAGCAACAAAGAGGGTTAGAGGAGTGGAGGCTAAAACACATGATGAACGGTTGCAGGAATTCGGTATGTCTAATCTAGTGAAAAGGACTAGGGGTGATATTTGAGGGGCTGCCACAAGAAAGAGAGGGTCAACCTATTTTCCAAAGCACCTGAAGGCAGGATGAGAAACAGTGAATGGAAACTAATTAAGGAGAGAGGCAACCTAGAACTGAGGAGGAATTTCCAGACAGCAAGAACAATTAACCAGTGGAATGACTTGCTTCCAGAAGTTGTGGGTGCTCTTAACACTGGAAGCTTTTAAGAAGAGATTGGACAGCTATTTGTCTGGAATGGTATAGGGTCTCCTGCTCGATCAGGGGGTTGGACCAGAAGACCTCCAACTCTGTTATTCTGTTCTCCCGGTAGAACCAATTATTAATTCTCCCAGTAGAACCAATTATTATTCTATTAAGAAAGGCGGTGCAGTCCTTTTTTGCTGGATTCAGAATCATAAAAATTGAAGTAATGCAAAAAGATATAAATACAATAGATGAAATAAATCAAGACATTTAGTTAAAACAATGAGTGGAACTAAAACATTTCCCTGGAATATTTTATTTATTGTTCTGATTGTTCTGTTCTGATTTCCCCATAGCTGAACTACAGTGCCCGTTGGAAATGGGCAGCCTGGCTGGGGGGGGGGGGGGGGGGAGTGGGTTTTGGCATCACACAGCTTCAGCACCTTAGACAGCAACCTCCCCTTGCTGGATACAAAAGGCCTGGGGGGGGAATATCCTGCACAAAAATTGAGTCTTTAGCACAATGTCCAAGACAAAAATTTGGCTTGGGTGAGTGAAAAGAATGCACCATCCACAGCCATTCCTGCTGCATGAAAAACAAAACTTATGCTTATGCTACACATTTACATGGAGCACTGTTTTTCCAGCGGGGCAACTTTATGATGTGTGGAATTCAACTCCCAGAATTCCCTAGCCAACAAACAAGTATCCTATCTCAGTGCCCTGAGGCTGGACAGGTTTTGATGGAGAGGAATTATCTTTGACTCCGTCCTACCAATTACACTGATTATGTTACCTTGTTTGGTAAAGAGACGTCTGCAAGAAAACCACCAGCTCAGAGAGCTCTAAGGATCCCATGCATCTGGAGATATACCGACATGGATCTAGAATAGGGTTGCACTTTCCCCTTCAAGGATAGTACCCAGTTTGGGAGTTAATATCCATCCATCCATCCATCCATCCATCCATCCATCCATCCATCCACTATACCGAATATCGATATATTCCTATCTTTGTCTTATTTTCTTAGAATCAGTTACAGTTAGGTCTTGTTTAAGAGTTCAGAGTTACAACAGTGCTAAAAAAAAAAAGACCTGTCCTCGAAGTTATGACCATTACTCTACCCGCGCACAGTCAAGGGATAAATTTGGGCGCTTGGCAATGTGCCTGCAGGTTAATGACTGCAGTGTTCTGTGATCAAGTGATTTGCGGCCTTCCCAGCCAGCTCCCAAGAAGCAAAGTCAATAGGGGGAGCCAGATTTGCTTAATGCCTATATAATTTGCTTAATGCCTGCGGTAAAAATAATAATAAAATTGGATCTGGTTCTCCGATGATGAGATTAGGGATCACATCACTTAGCAACTGAAATTCCGGTGCTAATCGTGGTCATAAGTCAAAAACTGCCTTATTAACTTTTTCCTTCCACAACAGAACAACGGGAGCAACCCTTAAATTACATTAAACGTTGCTAAGCGTTTCTCAACCTTAGCAACTTTGAACATGCTGGCTATGGAATTCTGGGAGTTGAAGTCCACCTATCTTCAGGTGGCCAAAATTGGGAAACACAGCCATAGCGTTAATTAGCCAATCATATTTCAGCTTGTGTCGTGTTTCCCCCCCAACTTCACTTGGCTCGTCAGAGAAGGGGCGTGGCTTCCAGGAAGCTTTTTCTAACTGATGAAAGTTCAGCTTCTCGCCGCCCCGTGATCTAGCGCATGCGCATTGTGGGGCTTTCTATTTCGCTGAGGCGTGACTAACCCACGCGCGCTGTACGTCTTTACGTTAGAAGTTCGTGGAGGTTTTTTTACCCCCCCCCCGCTTCTCGGCCAGAGTTTAACGTGGCTAAAAAGCCACAAATAATGAAGTTTATTCGAAGCAAATCCAGTCTGACGAGATTCCAAACCGTTTGGCACCGTGGCCTTTTGCGGTCAAAAAACAGTTCATGTTACATTAAAACATTGGACATAGTGCGACCTTTCTGGCTTTGTCATGATGTTTATTTAATAAAAGTTAAAAACAGTTCATGTTATAGGTGGGGTTTTTTTAATCTTGAGGAAGCGGGGACAAAATAGGCGGGGCAAAGCTGATTGGCGTGTTGGGAGGACGTATCCATATTGTCTCATACGCGCGCTTCTTGGATTCGCGCGTCCTAATTGGCTAGTCGGTGCTTATTCTCCCGCCTTTCTCCCTTTTCCGCGTGGATCGATCTTCTACCTTCACCCCGCTTTTCTTGACTTTCGAATTCTGTTCTGATTGGCCATCGGAGACAACTCCTTTCCCCCCAGTGAGAGTTTGATTGGCGAGTCGACGTGTGCGTCAACGCGCCGGGGCGGAGCTATAAAAGAGCGTGTCGCCCCCTTCTCCCCTCGTTCCGCTGCTTCTACCTGCGCGGCTCCCACCTCTCAAAACCTCCTTTTCCTACTGTACTCACTAGCCTTCTCAGCCAGTTTGAGTTGGCGCAGGCGCGCGGAGCCCAAGACGCGTGCGCACTAAGGAAGTGGGGGGCTAATCTTTTTCCCTTCTCTCATCTCAGCTCGCGGCTCTCGGGCGTACGGTCAGCCGCCTGCTCATTGGCTCATCCGTTGTTAGAGCGTCTGGCTCGGGTCGACGGTTGAGGCCTAAAGTTCTGCGCAGGCGCAGAACGCGGCTAAGGTAATAAGCCTCGCGCTCGTTCTGACGGGGCCTCAAGAAAAAGAAGGAAACCCGCCAAGCTCGCCGTTGCCAACGCGGTCGCCGCCGTCTCCTCCACCTCCTCCTCCGTGAGGGGAAAAGAGAAAAGAAGGGCCGAGGAAGACCTGGAACGGCCGCCTCCGCCATCATGAGTGTGGAAGCCTACGGGCCCAGTTCGCAGACGTTGACTTTCCTCGACACCGAGGAGGCCGAGCTGCTGGGCGCTGACACGCAAGGCTCCGAGTTCGAGTTCACCGACTTCACCTTGCCCAGCCAGACTCAAACGCCGCCCGGAGGAGGCTCCGGGAGCGGAGGAGGCGTCGTCGTGCCAGGGACCCCGGGACTCCCGGGGGGTGGCGTCGGAGTGGGCGCAGGGGGGGCGCCTTCCGTCGTCGCTCCGGGACAGCTGGATGCCCAGGTGAGGCCCGCGAAGGGTGAGGAAGAGTTAGAACCGCCAGGCGGGGAAGGGGGGGGGGAGAGAAAGGGACGAGTAGGAGGCTAACTTTTAAACTCCACGTCTTGTATGTGTGGCACTTGGCGCGGGATAAAAGGACAGCTTGCAGGTCCCGAGTGGGAGAGGCAAAGAGGTTGAGTTGCTTCTAGAAGCTTGGATTCTAGACTTGTTTAAAAATCGCCCCAGAGCTTAATAGGGAAGCCTGTAACTTTAGCCTTAGTGCTTATTGAAAAGAATACGCCAGAGAGATATTCCTCGTATGTACATTTACAGAATAACAGAGCTTGAAAGGGGCTTTGGAGGTCTTCTAGTCCAGTGTTTTTCAACCTTGACAACTTGAAGATGTCTGGACTTCAACTCCCAGAATTCCCCAGCCAGCGAATGCTGGCTGGGGAATTCTGGGAGTTGAAGTCCAGACATCTTCAAGTTGCCAAGGTTGAAAAACACTGTATCTAGTCCAACCCTCTGCTCAAGCAGGGAACTCTGCCACGTCAGACTAATATTTCTGTTCTAGACTTCCCAAGATCATGAAGCAGACTCCTCGTCCCGATAAAACCTCTTTTATTTTTATTTTTTTATATTTTGTTGCTCAAAGTAGCCTTTTCTAGGAAGGGGACAGATGCGGGCAACGTGCATTACAGAATTATAATGCCCATGCATGATATGATTAAGTATGAAAGTAATGAATTGCTTTCAGATATGTGTACATTTATGTGTGTTTGCCAGTTACACCTATCTACGCGTTTCAGTTGGGTAACTATGACTTTTATCAAAAGAAAAGGGCCCAATGATACATTGAACCTGTTTGCTGCGCCAGTGACTTTCAAACTGTTTCAGGCTGCGGAAGTTGCTAAATTTAAAAAAAACAAACTCATTCCCCTGATTAAGAGGCAAAGCTTAGTAGTGAGAAAATTGGCTGGAATAGTTAGATGCTAGAATTATAATGGCTTTTCAATGAGTCTTAGTGGCAACTAAGTTTGATTTCAGGCTGGTGTGTAAATCATTTGTCTTCAAGCTGTTATTAACCTGTACCTTCTTTGTACACTTTAAAGTAGCATTATGTGCACCTGTTTGACAGAAGACTGCATTGAAGTCAGGGAGGCATTGAATTTGCATAGTGGTTTCCAAGAAAGTGATTGGAAAATTCTCAGTTTCTGTGATTTTCTTGCATGGCCTTTTTAAGAATTCTTGTAAAGATAACTTGTTAAATCATCTTTGGGACAGAATGTAGGATCTGGATTTAAACTCTAAATGTTTAGTGCTTAAAGCAGTAAAAACACAACTGGGGATTGTGTATATACTTGGAAAATGGAAAAAATGTATATGTATTGTGATAAAAATATTTTATCATGGTAAGGAAAATAGTAGTATAAAGTGTGCCTGCCGCCTTGGGTTGACCAATTTTTTTAAAAAGGAGAAAAATATAATTTTAGACAAGTGGCAGTAGAATATGTACCCACAGAAGTTCTTTATAGATTAAGGGAAGATTTATCTCCCAATTAAGGATAAGGTGTTCTATCATAGGTATTAATTGTGGCTAGAACAGCATAAGATAGTACTTTAACTTCTGAGTAATTGGGTGAGGCCTCAACTGGGGGCAAGGTGTGTACATGTATAATTAACACCTTTCCCAAGGAAATGCCACCTTGTTAAAGAGATGATTTTAATCTGCATTTTTGTCCTTTGTTCTGTTTAACAGTAGAGTGTAGTACTCAGTTTTGCATCTTAGGTCAGGTTTTCTCTAATGTAATTCCTTTAGGTGGTTTAATCATCTTGTTCTGGACAAGTCATTTGAAGTTTTGCAAATATGTCTGTAAGTATAGAATTCCATACAGATGTGAGTTTTCTGGATATGCCATAGGTTTGTGGTGCCTTTCTAAAATTTTCTGTTCTGTAGTTTCACTGCTGTAATGAAGAACATTGCCTCATTTTCTTCACCAGATTTAATTCCCATATAGGAATAAAATAGGAATGGCATTCAAAACATAGTATGCTTGCTTAATTCCCCAGAAGAGGGTTTTGAAATGTGTAGGGGACGTCAGGGTCAAGAAGATATGTAGCATATTCTTTTTCCTTACTCTTGGTTATTTTCTTTCTCTAAACTCAATTTCACTATTGAAACCCATCATAAACTTAAAGCAGTTGTATGCTGTTTGTGGAAAGTCTATTGCTATATTAATAAAAAGGGTCTTCAGGTTGTCTAATGATGAAAGGTATATTTTTAAAGTGTTAGTAACACAAGACATGGTGTTGTACTGTTTCCTGTTAAAAGGAAAATCACCTTTGTCTTCATTAAATAGTTTTTTGGGCAGCCATACAGAAGTGGCTTGTCATTGCTTTCTTCCAGGATGTTTGTTTTACTTCCGAGGCTTGCCCTAGAGGACTGAGAGATGCTAACCAAACCTATCGCTGCTTAGTTTCTGTGTTGCCTCCTACCAAAACAAAAGTGTTAGCTCTGTGAATTGGATGAAGGTACATATAGTCACAATATTTATGGCTTCTGATGTTGATCTGAGCAAGTTTCCCATCACAGTCTTAAAATCTCCATCTACTTACAGAATAGCTGAATATGGAAATAAGGAGATTCCCATGCCTGGGCTGTCAGAACATTTGGAATGGGAAATATATTCGCATTTAAGTAATTTTTCAGTCATTCATTCTGGGAAAGTGATTTTCTCAAAAATCCTTTTGGGGAAAAAATATTTCTGTAAAGAATGAGAATTGGATTATTTCTGATTTTGAAAGTCTTCGGTCTATCTTTCCCAGTATTTTTCAACATGAGTACTCCAGACTAAGTTAGGAATTGGTTCTGAATAATCTTGAAATAATTTTTAAAAATTAGAATCTGGTTACGTTAGGGTAATAAACATACTGGTGTTTGATTTACCTAGCAACAGCTGTTTGCAAGATTCAGAAATTTAAAACTTCTGCTATTTTCTGTACTACATCTGTATAAGTAACAGATAGTAGTTCTGCATGTACTCTGCCTTAACATGGAAAGAATTAAACATATTGTTATATTTGCTGGCTCATAAAAAATGTGAATGGAAAACCCTGCAAGTAAAATACTTAGGCGCACAGCTTTCTATTCAACATGTTATGTCAACATGTCTTTTGATCTTCTCCATAATTTTTCACTACTGGAAAATCAAGTAAATAGCTACTTCAGTGGCTTTCTTACACTAATAGGTTATAATATTTATGGTTATGGGTAGGTTGGTGTAGGTCACTTCAGATGCTGAGGCTTTAAGGGATGGTTTTGATCAATTAGCTGTGTAGGCTAAGGCATCTGAGAGATATAATCCTTTAAAAATCATGGGGGCAATATTTTTACAAAATGTTCTTATTTTAAACTGAAAATATTACCCTGAATTGCATATAATACAAAACTGCAATATTATGTATATGAACAAGAAGATGTCCTCAGAACTCTAATATTGCTCTTCACTCTCCTTACCTAACATAACAGGGGAAAAAATAAATTGGTTTTCAAGTTAGAAGAGTCTTTATTTAGCTTTACATAAGATTAGAAAATCTGTTTTAAAGATAATTATGGCTTTCTCAAACAGATGGGGGGAAGCAGGCAGTTTTTATAGCCTACTGTTCATCATGAAGGAAATAGGCAATCTGTGATACTAAATCCTTTTTTGTGGTCTGAAGAGCCCAATCCAACATGGGCTACTCTACTATTTTGACAAGAAATTTAGACAAAGATCTGTAATATGAATCTTAAAATAGGCTTAATTATATTGGTAATCCAAAAAATGAAAGAAAAATTCCAGAATACCCTGTCCACCATGTTTCTTAATATACTATCCAAAAATGTTAACTGCAGTCTATCATCACCAAAAAGTGTTCATCAAATATACAGCAACACATTAGATTTTAGTTTATTTTTCTTATTTGTATGGAAGGGAAGAGTGAGCCCCATGTTTGAGCAATTTTTTGCTTTTGCATGTAATTATAATTTGCTTATGTAAATTACATATGGAAATTATAGTTACATATGCATACATTTGTATTCCTCAAAATGGATTTGTCAGATTACTGTGTCTTATGACTAAAGATTGGGTGGGCTTTAGACATAATTTTGAACTTAAGAATTACCTAGTAAACTAGTAAAGTATCATTTGTTTTCTACAATATTTTAATTTTGTTTTGTGCCTGCAGACTTGTAGCTATTGCAGTTGCTAGAAACTGAGATCATCCATTGCCATTCTGAATCTCTTCTGGATCATCCATTGTCTCCATATATCTGATTATATGTAATTATATCTTGTACCTGAGTTTTGTGGTGCTGTCCCTTCTTAGATTTGCCTGCCAAAGGAGCAATAATAGGTTGCTCTATAAACTGTTTTGTCTTGCTTCTTTTGGAAACTTCATATGCTGTAGGTGTTTGAGGAACATATTTATTTAGAAGTTAGTTCAATTTTTTCCCCTAAGTAAAATATATGTTAAGTTGCAGGATGAACTTTTAGGAATTACTATTCTCCAACTCTATTGTAGTTTTATTCATGACATGTTTTTCTCCTAACTTCGTTGAAGTAGTCTACAAAACATAGATTAAACTTTGAAACTGCCAGATCTACATAATATATTTGTTTTGACAGCCATTTATTATTATTAATTTTCTTAACAATATTTTCCTGAACTGGAAAAGCTTTGTAAAATACATTATTGCACAATAATGTTATGGTGCATAATGTTATGAACCAATGGTAGTCCATGCTGGTTTTAAAAAATCATCATGTTTCTTGGGGAAGGTATTAGAAAGTTTAATGGGGGGACTGGAGTTGCATATGTAATAAAGTAAAATGATATTTAAGTTCATGTAATTTGGTACTGCTGCTGTGCCCTTGATTCTTAAAATGGTACTGTGCAGTGCTGAAGTTTTTCTGGCTCCTTTTTTTTTTTGAAGAACATATTTAAATGGTTTGCAAGACCATTAATGAATATATGTAGAT